TGTGGCCGGACAGGGGGCTGCTGGCCCTGCCACTCTGCGAGATTGTCTGCGTCTTTGGACAGCTTTGCAGATGTTAGCCAAGGCACTGTTAACCTAAAGTCAGACAGATGCTGAGAGGGGTCTGTCTCTACTGAAGCTGAGTCGAGAGATCCTAAAATTGAAGTCTTTTTTTCCCCCTTGGGTAATACTGAAGAACCCTGGACTGCTGAGTGATGGTTTTCGCTGTCCTTTTGGCTCTGACCTCTCTCTTGCCTTTTCTTCCTTGCTTTTGCTCTGTTTTTTTTTTGTACTCAGTTCATTTTAATTCTGCTTTTTTTTTTTTTTGAGCTATCTTAATTCTTTCCTTTTCATCTGCCCAAGCCTGATTTTCAGTTCCATAGCATTTCTCCTGACCTGGCTTCACTCCTCCTGCCACTTGCGTCTTTTCCTCCTCAAGCAATACCAACTTTACTGGAAAGTGCTCAGGTATCCAAACTCGAGTCCCAACTGCACACCTTAGGGTTCAGGCTGGGGCTGGCCCTGCTGACATGAGGAACGGGAAGTACTTGGTGGCCTCTAATCTGCTGTGTGTCACCGCCAAGCAGATAAGTGGTTTTGTGCTCGGCGTCCTCCGTTGCCTTGTGGTTTCCTCCCTCACTCAAGGCTAAGTGTCGGTGCTGCACATCCCGCACAGGGTGTGCACAAGCCACAGAGACAGAGCTGGTGATGTTTTATAAACTTGCTTTGCTAAAGCTAGTGCTTGTCCCAACGTGGACTCTTAATCTCTCTTGGGTATGAAATCAATCACTTTGGCTGTTGTTGATGGGAATTGGGACTGACGGTATAAAGTCAGGTTTACGTCCACCTTTTCACAGGACTGGTATTAGTTTTATATAAACAAAACCAAAAAATTGAGGGCAGAAAGATGCTTAGGACAAAAAAAAACCATTTGAAGCATTGCCTTACTTTGCCCCCAGGATTTGACTCCCTGTCTGTGAGCATGTTCACTGGAACACATCTTGCCCTCACAGGGACAGAACCAGGGGGAATGGTTGCAAGTTGCAACAGGGCAAGTTTAGGCTGGACATGAGGAAGAAATTCTTCACAGAAAGAGCGGTCAGACACTGGAACAGACTGCCTAGGGAGATGGTTGAGTCGCCATCCCTGGATGTGTTCAAATGTCGTTTAGATGTGGTGTTGGGTGATATGGTTTAGGGGTGAACTTGTAGTGTAGGGTCAGTGGTTGGACTCGATGATCCTAAGGGTCTTTTCCAACCTGAATTGTTCTGTGATTCTATGATTCTATGATTCTATGGTTCTCACTGCTTTGCTGATGCTCTCCTGGCACACCCAGCTGGCAGCATCTCTGTTGCACAGAACTGTGGGCTAGGACAGACATCCAGTGATGAAAGGTCAGGAGTGTCCTATAGCTACAGGATAGCTTCAGGTCACCTATTGCAGCACTTCTTGCTGAGCACTTGCCATGTCTACCTTCTACACCAAAGCCATACAGTCTGCATGAATATAGTGTTTCTTCTGTTTCTTCATATCCCTTCCTCAGCAATCCCAAACTGCGTGCCCTGGCAACAGCCCTGTCCCCAGGCTTCCTGAGGTTTGGTGGCACTGAGACTGATTTTCTCATCTTTGATCCCAACAAGGATTCAACTTTGGAAGAAAAAATCCTCTGGGAACTTCAGGCCCAGCAAGGTAAAATGGGCATTAGTGTTTTAGACTGGAAGCTATCTTGGGTTTAGGAGGTGTCTTTGACGTAGGCTGGGAACGCCACAAGGGCACGGTGGCCGTGCTGCAGGTCCTCCATGAGGTCAGCATTGCTCTCCTCTGTGGAGACGATATCCATGGACCTTCAGCGTGATCTGTTGGAGGAGCTGTGCCACCTGTGGGAAAGTGAAGAAAGGCACAGTGGACCTCATGTCCACCCTGGCATCTGCTGGGACTCTCCCTTTGCCACCCTGTACTCCCCACAACAGCCTTGAGAGCTCCCCAACTGCCTGGGAAGAGATCAAGGTTGGCTCAAAAATTGTGATTTCATTATGAAAATTAAGTAATGGATGGAAGAAATAATCTGTTAAGAACAGAACAATGATTTTCTCCATCTTGGCCAAAGCCAGAGCTAAGCTGGGGATGCAGCCTTGCCCTCCTGTCATTCCAACAGGGCAAGTGGAAACACACGGGACCACTGCCAACTGCTCGGCTTGGTCCTGGTGTGCAAGGTTTTGCGCTGCAGTAAAGTCCATTTCCTATTTAAACTTAGCAAAAGCATATAAACTCTTCTAGAGGTGTTTCACATAAAAAATTGTCATCTATTCCTGTGATACGTAGCACAACAGTGCAATGGTATGTCACTGTACAACTGGTGGTGCTTGGTTTTGAAGGTCAGTGGTACTTTTTCTCCTTATTGCATTGCTGAGTGGCTGCCTCCTCTCTGGGTAACAGGCTTGTGCCTTCCCCTCTGGCTATGGCTTGTGCCTGGTTTGCATGCCGAGGAGAAAACAAGCTTTGAAGAAAAAGTGTCTTATGACTCCTGCTGTTGGAGCTACGTGTGGCGGGTGGCCCTTTCCCACACACGAGATGAGCAGGAAGCATTGCCCCATATCTGCCTGCAGCAAGGCACGCCGTGAACCCTGCCATACCCCTGCACCGCAGGGTGGCTTATCTGCTCCTCGGGCACAGCAGCCCTTGCTTCTTCAGCTGGCTGGAACGAGGGTTTCCGGATGGTGCTCCAGCTAAAATAGCTGATTGGGGTACGACTGCTATGATACCAGTCTCCAGAAGCATAGCTTCCCCATCCCCTCATCTCCATCACCTTAAGTTGGGAAATGTAACTTTTACGTATATTTATTCATCAAGCCAGCCCTCTTTTTCTACACGGCTAACATTGTGAAAGTTTCATAAAATGCACTCAGCCTGGCACCAAGCACTTGTGCTTCCTCCTGAGAAACTCAGCTCTTTGCATGCTGGACCCTGGTGATAAAGATGAGGACTTAATTACTGTTGCCCTTTTTCTGCCCTACAGAGTCTTGTGGCTCAAGGCCTGCGTTTGCTGCTGTTGAGAAGCTACTGCTGGCCCAGTGGCCTAACCAGGAGAAACTGATTCTTGCAGAGCATAACCGGAAAAAGCACAAAAACACCACCATTACAAGTAAGACTTCGATGGATTTTTCTGCTAGGGTTTATAACCAGGGGGCTGCAAATCTCTGTCCTGCAATAAAAGATCCATGGGCTGTTAGGAGGTGAAATCACTGAAAAAGAGTATTTTTTTTTAAGTGGGTGAAATGTTTCTAAGAAATCTTTTTCTACTGTCTGCCCCCTTGTATATAATAGTATTCAGCTGCTACAGAAGTTGGGAGGATCTCAACAGTTTGCAGGAAGGTGTGTAGGTCAGGTCTGGGCTCTGCTGTCTGGCTGGGAGAGCTTGGCACATCTGCAGCACCAGGCTAAGTAAATACACGCAGTAAAGGTTGTCGCTTGGCTGGAGCTCAACTAGCCTACTGTCACCTCGAGATAAATAGCCCTCCCCCCTTTCTCCTCCATGCAGGGAATACGTTGGATATTCTCTACAGCTTTGCAGACTGCTCAGGGTTTCACCTGGTCTTTGGGCTCAACGCCTTGCTGCGGAAAGATGGCTTGCAGTGGGACAGCTCGAACGCCCACACGCTGCTGGATTACTGTGCCTCACAGAGGTACAACATCTCCTGGGAGCTTGGGAATGGTAAGTGCGGAGCCTGCTTGTGGGCCGGCAGTCACCTGGCCACAGGGCGTGGACTAGTAACTTTAGATGTTTTGGATGACGACCTGTAAAGGCAAGGTGATGTTTTATCGGGAAACATTGTCTTAATTGCAAGGACGGATTTCACAGAAGGCCCAATGAATGAGCAGACTGAGGTGATTTTGCTGATCCTACCAAGGCTCTGAGAGGAAGTGAACGATGCCCTGTGAGGTGCAGGATGTCACCTCTGGGGACTAGTTGGGACAGAGTGCTGGAGAGCAGCATGCTGCATCATCCAGGCTTTCGGTTTCATGCTCATCACCTTCAAATACCTCACCCATACTTTGCCAGATGACGTGGAGCCGTGGGGTTTGGTACTCCCTATATGGAATGAGTTGCCCTACTTTGTGTCCTGAAACTAGAGCAGGGTGCTGATGTTCATGTGTCTTCCCCAGAGCCAAATAGCTTCAGGAAGAAATCAGGTGTCTACATCGATGGCTTCCAACTAGGGCAAGATTTTATTCACCTACGCCAACTTCTGAGTAACTATACCCTCTACCGGAACACAAAGCTGTATGGTCCCGATGTCGGGCAGCCCCGAAAGCACACACAGAGACTGCTGAGAAGGTAGGGGTGTGGGGCCCTGGCAGCAACCCCTGGGGTGGGCAGGCGTGGATAGCGGTGGCTCATCTGCACCCAGATGCGGGGGACTTGAGGAGGCTTCTGGGCAGGGTTTCATGAATTTTCTGCTCCAAATCAATAGCAAGGATGTACAAATGGATACATCGAGTCTATTTGAGAACTTATTTCCTGCATTTTTCCTTAAATTAGAAACATGAAAATTTTCCTTGACTGGGCATGACTGAAATCTTACCTGCATGCATGAGCTCAAGGCTTAAATACTCAGCCAGTTGAAACTAAGACACCAGCAGTGCTTCAGTGATCCACATGCCTTTCAGTTGAGCCCTGGCTCATGTGCTGTTGCTGAAAAGGGATTTTCACCCTAGAAGTCTCTGCATGTTACACAAGCACTAATTCATCCTCCCAACAACGTGCTGAGGCAGCCAGGCTGCCCAAAGCCTGTTTAAAAGCCATCACAAGTGTGGTCCCAAAGCAGTTTACCATCTCTACCACCAGCTGCAGGGAAAGGGGAGAGCTGCATGTGGCAGCTTGCTCGTGGGGTACTGCGACATGTCACCGGTACCCACTGACCTCTCACTCTCCACTGCATGTCTCTTCTGATTGCAGTTTCCTGAAATCAGGAGGGAAGGTGATCGATTCTGTCACATGGCATCAGTAAGTACTGTTCAGATACCATCATCGCTCTGCATGTTGCCCATTTTCTTTACAAAACGTCAATTTGAGCATGTCCACAGGAAAGGGGAGGTGAAGTACCCCTTTCAGCAGTTTTTTGGGTGCCCCTCTGCAAACTCATCTGCTCAGAATAAAAGATGAATTGAGGGAGCACGTTACAGAAACGCAAAAGGTCTCCAAAGAGGCTGCTTGGTGCAAAGACCCAAAAAGCAGTGGCAGGGGTTTGTAATACAGGCAAAGTAGCAGGGAATGCAACATGTGCAGGACGGTCATTTTCCGTGCTAAATGTGTGCACTGATTAAAACAGAAGTGGAATGTGGAGAAAAAGACGGCACAGCAGCTTTATCTCTCAGAATAGTGTGTGGGATTGGTCTAGGCTCTGCCCAACACATGGAGAGTTTCTGCAGCAACTGAACCTTTTTGCGTATGCTGTGTTTTAATATGTATCAAACACCGGTGAGATTTGAGCAGTAGACCCGGTTGTCTCAAAGCCCCAAGTTGCCAACACTTGCAGATAAAATGCACTTTCCCGTGGGAAAAAAGGGGTGTTGTATAAAAGCAAAATAAGATAGCTCAGACTTACTTGGCAGAGGTGCCTTCTGTAAGAGCAGAAGGTTTTTAATGTAAGATCTTAAACAGTCTGTGGGTGGCTGGGCTTTGCAGTGGTGTCAGTACCACTGACATTGAGGCCCTCCTTAGCATTGGAAAGGCTGAATCTGCTGGAGTGAAAGCTTTGCTCCATAAAAGCAAATTCAGACAGTTACTGATGACCCTGCTGGCAAATGCACCCAATTCCTTGTAAAAAATGCAACAGAAGCCTCGTTAACTGACGTATTACAGCTTTCTTTTTTTTTTTATTTGTAACAATTTGATATAAATGAAAAGCCCTACAGGTCTGGCTAACCCTCACTCCTAGAGAAGTGCTAAGCAGCTTCTCCTGCTCCCTTTCATTTGCTCTCCAGGTCAGCTAGGGCTGTGGGCATGTAACTCGCCCTCAGATCCCACCCACAGTGCAAAGAGCAGCAGCATGGTCCCAGTCCTTTGCTCTTTTGCCACAGCTTAGAGATGCAGTTTTGAAGTGCTGAGGTGGATAAGTTGGCCCCAGAGCAGCTGCCATGTTTGAAAGTGATTTCCATGTGAAGGTGGTTTTCATTCTGGAGTCAAATGCAGCATGGTGACATGCAGCAGTCAGGTAACAGTGGGAAAAGATGCACGTTCTTATATTTTTTATATATATATATAATACATATATACGCATACATATATATAAAATATATATTTATATATGTGCATGTATATACATATATGCCTTATCTATGTATTTTGAGCTGCTAGCAAGGCATAAAATGTGTCCCCTCCCCTTCCTGAGCTGTTTTTGTCCTGTGGTTGCCTTTGCTTTAAATGGGCATGCATTATTTTCTTTACTAATTTAGGGTTATCGTGTTTTAGCTTCCCGTGTGGCTGGAAGACTTCAGTTATTTCCGGTAGGACTGAGTGATAGCCTGATGAAATGTAAAACCCACAAGGACCCCAATTTCCTGTTCTTTATTTGGACAAGCCAGACTTAAAAGCTCTTCTGCTTATGGTGGAGGGCAACCTTCATCTCATAGGGATGCCTCCATCCCATTCTCCTCCAGATGGCCAGAATACTCCAACAGAGGGACAGAAGCTGGGATCTGGTATTTTTCATATATAGCTTGATACAGTAAAGCAAGGAATCCCATCAAGGGAATCCCATCCCAAGCAAGGACTCCTTGTCAAGAGGAGATTTACAGAAGCTGACTTTTATTCAGTGATGTTTTTCTCATTCTAAATGAGTAGATGATGTGATGTGATATCCTGCTTCCATCAATGTAATTATACCTGATAGTCTCTTAAATACAAACAGCGTACGTACTTGTTTGGAAAACAAACGAAAAAAAAGAAAAGAAAAAAATGTACAGAAAAATAGTGCTGTGGGTAAATGCATCAAGCAACTGAGTAAAAAACTGGTGTCTTGTACCAGTGGTGGTACTTTTCCTTAATTTTGGCTTTGAGGTTTCTTTTTCATTTCCAGTTACTATGTTAATGGACGAAGTGCAACGAGGAAAGATTTCTTGAGCCCTGAAGTGCTGGATACCTTTGCCACAGATGTACACGAAGTCCTGGAGGTGACTTGTCCTGTTCAGTCTTCCCCAGGTTCAGTTTCCAGGGGATTAGCAGAGAATCCAGAATTTCTCACTAGCAATAAACAGGCATCCTCAAAGCTTGGGTGCTGCTGTCATTGTAAACTAAAAAATAAATTAATGATACTTGCCATTTAGCAAGTATGGTGCCAGATGCATCACAAACCTACAACATTCTCATTTATCGGTGTAGTCATTACTCAGGGATGTAATTTATGGTTATATACCCTCTCATCCCTATTTGTCTGTATTTTGAGATCCTGAGAACAGTATAACTTAGAATATGCCACTACTCAGCACAAGAATACTTACAGGACTTGGCTTTTAAGCGATGTTTGCCTGGTTCTATGATTTTTTGGAGGGGGGGGGAGTAAATCTTCTTCTAGGCCTTTTGATCAAAATTTCTGTGACATCCCACCTCAGCTGCTGTTACCTTTAAATGCAAACATTGTACACAAGGGTTTGGCTAAAGCACAAAATTTTGATTGCCCATTATTTCAGTAGCCAAAAAAACTAACTGTTGTGTTCTTATACCATACCGCACAGATTGTTCGTGGGACTGTGCCTGACAAGAAGGTCTGGCTGGGAGAGACGAGCTCTGCCTATGGAGGGGGAGCTCCCAGGCTGTCCAACACTTACGTTGCTGGCTTTATGTAAGTATTGTCACAGATGTGGAGAAATTACACATTTTACCAGATAATGCAGTTGTGTACATGCCCCATGGAAAGAACGTCTTCCTTAGGCTTCCTGGGGACTGAAGGAAATAGGTGGGTTGGGGATTGGAACCTTCCCACTGCTTCCTGTGTGCCTCCCCTGTGACTGAGGTTCGATGTAGGTAATAGCAAATCCGTACTGAAACCAAAGGATGAGAAATGTGAAAAAATTATATTTCTGCCCTTGAACCTGCGATACTCACTCCGTCCTTTTGTGAGGATGGGAAGTCAATCACGAGATGAATGTCCTTTTCTAATGTAATCATTTGACCACTGTGAAATAACTAAGAGAAGAAATTATATTCATTACTGAATTTCCCTTTAAGGACTCCAGTTGTAGCATTTTGTTGAAATAAAAGAGTTCAGGCTTTTCTTAGCACTTTGATCTGTTTGTAGATTCAGGGAGATAAAATTGCGTAGGAATGTGGCAGAGGGGTTGGATTAGATCATCTCTAAGGTCCCTTCCAACCTAAGACATTCTGTGGTTCTAATGTGCAGTTCACACTTTGAAAATTAACTGAAAACATGGTTGCAATGTACTGTTTTTCCCTCCTGTAAGACATGATGATCTTTTCATCAGGGTCTGGTGGTCAACAAGTCCAAGCCTGGTAATGACAGGCAACTTTGACCTTGGTATGATGATTTCTCTTGGCCTTCAGGCCCTTGGCCGGTTCAGGAGCATCTGCTGCCACTCCTGGTTTCCACTGCCTGCAAACAGGGAAGTGGAGCAACTGTTCCCACCAACTCGGACCTCCAGAGGTGGCCTGAAATTATTTTTTAAGGTAATCAATGCAAGACTTGAGTTGAACTTAGTTGTGTGATTTTGAGGAAGTCAGCACCATGCCCTAATTTTGGCTTTCCTATTTCCTGAGCTGCTTAGAGAGAGGCAACGGCGCACAGTTGAGGTCAGCAATTTCACCTGCGTATAGTTTACCTCATTTTTTTTGGCAGGTGGCTGGACAAACTTGGGCTTTCAGCCAGGAAAGGGATTGACGTGGTGATGAGACAGGTTTTCTTTGGGGCAGGGACCTATCACCTGGTGGATGCTAACTTTGAGCCTTTGCCGGTATGTATGCAACCCTTATGAGTTCCAAGTATTCCTTATATGAGTTCAAGTATATATCTAGATATATTTACTGCCACTGCAGGGATGCAGCTAGTCTTCAGCACAGCAGAGACTGATTTCTGGGACAAGAGGCTCTGATTTGTATGCAGATGCTTCTGGAGTTCACAAGGCTTCTCTGGATAGACTAGTTTGAGTACTCCCAGCAGAGCGATGAGTAGCTTTTAAACAGAAGTGATACGAGGTATCATAAGCAATTATATCCCAAGTGAAAACCAAACCAACACAAAGTCAAGACAGAAGTGTTTCCTTAGCTTTCAGTAGTGGCTGAGGGATAATTAAATGAAACTATGCATTTAGTATAGTTGGATTTCTTAGGAAATAATGTTGTGATGAAACATCATTATTTGAACTCTACATTGTTCTTGCACATACAGCATGTTTCTTTGTCCTAGTAGCACTTACCTTGGGTGAGAGGATAGTGTCTTTCTTTTTAGCTTTCCTCTCATTTTTCTGGTTCCAAGTTGTGATTTTCACAGGCTCATGGAGACCATCTGAGAGGAGACCCAGCATACGGGGTTTTTCTGTCTTGCCTTGTCCAGGGCTGCGTTGCTAGGCTTGTTGCTTTGGGCTTTTTTTATTCCCTCTTTTAAAATAGATTTAACTTGGACTGAAAGGATGTGCCTTGCTCCTCGCCTACAGGCAGTACAGATGCTAATCAAGCTAATAATGCTTTAGAGGCAGGGAAATCCAAATCCAGGTCCATCACTTTTAGTTAGCATAGAAATGAAGAAGCATAGCAGTGTCAGAAGGCTGCCCCTCCTTGCAGACAGGCTGAGCATGTAGGCTGATGGGAAAAGTCACTTCCCTGGGCTCCTGGTGACTCAGGAGAGAAACATGACAGTTTTCCTTCTAGGAAAACCTCAAAGACAGATGAGCTGGGAGAAGGTCTCTGGAATCCATCCGCTGGAGTCTCCCCTGGGACTGTGCTCAGAGAAGCGATAGTGCAAAATGCAGCCCACCTGCAGCCTTCTAGTCCCAAAACACATCTGTACAGATCGTGGGCTGTCTTTAGTATGATCATGGTGTTCACAGAGGAAAAGTAACAGTCAAGATGCAAGAAAAAGCAGACCTGGAAAAAATGAGTCTGCACCTGGACATCATCCTGGGGTTGTCAGAGGACTTACTCTTGACTGGCGTTAAGAAAATGTTGTCTCAAAACTGAGTTTGTTTCCCGGTGTGCAATAAGCAAAACTCACACACTGAGACAAGATACTGCAGTTTATTTCATTTCTGCAGAGATGGGTGTTAGGTGGTAATTCCACAAAGCTAGCAACATATTTATCTTGTTACCTGATTAATAAAAACATGCCTAAATTTACAATTACTGGTCAGTGATTACTATCCCTTTTATTATTGGTTAGGTATATTCAAATTAGCCTTGCTTTTCATGTAAATTAGCATGCATGCTCCTTACGGGGAGAGAGGGGGTAAGTTTTCTTGGGCTTGAATTAAGTGGGTCAAGGTTGTGATCTTTCCCTGCTGCCTTTACCTTTGGCTGACTTCATGTCCTTTGGCAATTATCCAGCTTCCTCAGCACACTCTGGAGTAGGATGTTTCCTTTTTATCAGTTTTTCTTCCAGGGTATAGTCCTAGTAAGGCATGCATTTTATACGAAGTATAAAATTTATACTTACGCAATAAAGCTATTGAAACAACATGCTTATGCAATAAAGCTGTTGAGCAATGGTCCTCTTTAGAACTCTTATGCAGTATAACTAAGTGAAACAGTGTCACTGTAACTTAAGCATTAATCCATATATGGGTTTACTTAGTCTACACAAAATCAATCCCAAGACCTGTTTGACGTTAGTGAAAGGCATAAAAGTTTTTGGGAGCTTCCTCCCCATGTTGTGCCTGTGGACTGAGCACAGGCTTCTCTCCTGCAGGAAGGGTGGCTCCTCCCCTGAGGGTCAGTGCTGAGGCGCTCTGCACCCTGCAGAAGGGTGGTTTCCAGAATGCAGACAGTCTCTCCCCCACAGAAAGAGTTCTGAGATTTATCTGTGAAGGCGAAAATGACTCTAAGGTACCTTGCAAACACAGCTGCTCTGCAGCTTGGAGGCAGGGTTTTATCTTTAGCTATGCTAAATAGATACGGTGACAAACTTGGTAAAGCAAAACATTATGGGGGAAAAAAAAACCACCCTGAAATTACCCACAAAATGAATGTTACATTAAGCACCATGTGGAGTACCTGGCATGTACGCAAGTGCTTGTGCGTGTTTTTGTGCCTCCCAGGACTACTGGCTCTCGCTGCTCTACAAGAAGCTGGTGGGTACCAAGGTGCTGCAAGTCGGCCTGGCAGGAGCCGATGAGAGGAAGCTCCGTGTCTACCTCCACTGCACAAATGCCCTCCAGTAAGTCTTCACAAAGGGCGAAATAACCCAGAAACTGAGCCCAGGGCTGCTCCCAGGCCAACAAAAGCAACTTGGGACAGTGTGAGGACACTCGTTATTTCTGTGAAACCTCTTTCTTTCCTGATCTCCTCCATTGTTTTCTCCTGCCTTTTAGTCCAAAGTACAGAGAAGGGGACGTGACGCTGTTTGCCTTAAACCTCTACAACGTTACCCAACGTTTGCAGCTACCGAATTACCTATCAAGCAAGCATGTGGATCAGTACCTCTTACTGCCTCATGGCAAGGAGAATATACTTTCCAGGTAAGTGTGCAACTCCTCCTGTGTCTGTAGAAAAGATTGTGTATAGAGTTGGATGGCCTCTAAAACCTCACCTCGTTCAATTTGCAAGGTGGGGCGGTAGAAGGTGTTACCATTCAGTCATCTGTGATATTTTTTAGTAAGGTCTGACTTCTGTTAAACCAGGTCTCCTAAAATCAGGCTGCTGAAAGCTTGGTAAGGTATGAGGACACTTGTTTGCTGTTACTTGGAAAGTATTTTCCTAGCAGGCTGCAAAAAGGACTCTAGACCAGCTACGAAAGTCTTTTTTCTTTTGCACAAGGTATATTGCTTTCCCAAGTGCTGTCTTCTGATTTAGAGCAAGGTGTTCAGACTTTGTGTGGCCTCTTTTGTTGTTACCTCTAATGCATCAGCACGAGAAGGATCTGCTCTGTGGGCCTAGAAGATACATCTTAATATTTGCAGGAGAAAAAAAACAATGAAACTTTCTATTTCTCAAGGGCAGCTTTGCTGTTAGCCTCACTAGAAGAGTAAGAAACATGTACTTTACAGCTTGTTTGTGCTATGACTCTAAAGGAGTCCTTGCAGAGGGAGTGCAGCAGATGCTCTGTGTGCATGCACACATAAAACCCTCAAGGGAAGTTTTGTTTGGCTTTGGGTTGAGCTTATGTTTACACTCAGGTCTGGAGCTGTTTGTGCTCGATGGCAAACAGAGCACAGCTGCCCAAACAGTCTGTCTGTCCCTCTCCAGGTCTATTGAGCTGAATGGCCGTGTGCTACGGATGGTGGATGACAAAACGCTGCCAGAGCTTACCGAAAAAACACTGGGTCCCGGCAGCATCCTTGGCCTTCCAGCCTTCTCTTACGGCTTTTACGTTATCAAAAATGCCAAAGCTATTGCTTGCATTTAAATGGTTAATACACACACACACACAGGATAAATGTAAAGCACTTGGCTAGTAGGGAAGCTTAATCCTAGAAATTCACGTTTGTACCATGAGATTTAATTCTGGCAAGGGATGCAAATGTGGCAGCACTTTGGGCTAAGGAGGACATAGAATCATACAGTGGTTTGGGTTGGAAGGAACCTTAAACATCATCTAGTTCCAACCCCTAGGTTTTTCACATGCTTGCATGAGAACAAAACGGAAAGAACGCCCCCCCTGCACAGGCTCTCCTCAGTGGGTGCGCCCACGGGCCGGGAGGGAGCAGTCATTGCTCCGCTGCCCTCCCTGCATCTTCCAGCCACTGCGTGATGGCCACTTTTCCCACTCACACAACCGCACCATGATCCACGCTGATCTCTTCACCGTGCTGCATGCATGACACCCCTCCCTGGCATATTGGGAGGCCTGCTGGGTGATTTGTTTGTGAAAGATGCTCATTAGGCTCCCGGGAGATTGGTCCAGCTAAAGCAAGCCCAGGCAGGGGCTGGTTGTGCTCTCGGTCCAGGCTGCGTCGCTGTGCCCAAGCACGGGGCCCTCCTCCAAGGCACGTGTGGAGCTGCTTCAGCTTCTCACACTGCATTTGGGGCTCTGCCAGCAGGGAACTGCAACCTTCCTTCTCCCTCTCATTTCTGCAGGCACGGCTCTTAAAGCAGTTCCTTCCAAAGCTTGTCTTTTTAATTTAGCTGTACAGCTTTGATTTTTTGCCTGCACCGTGTGGTGAGGAGGGGTCGTGGTTGCTGAGGGCATCTCAGGGTGGACAGCGGGGACATGCAAAGAAAACCGAGGTCAGGATGCCTGCAGGAGAAAACGCCGAGAAACCAGGTCCTCCGTGGGATTTGGGGCAGCACTGCGTGTTTTTTTTCAAGTTAAAAAAGTGCAGTCACAAGATGGAGCTGTGGCCATGAGATTTCCAAAGGCACATGAAATGTGACACATGACATGTGCCACATGAAATATGCAGGCAGTTCCTGCAGAGTGGTCTACCTCTGCTCTCACACACTCTGTCCCCCGGGAGGGAAGGAGAGGGAGCCCACCAGCACCCTGGCAAACCCTCTGTGGTTTCCCTTTTTTAAGTTTAAAAGGTTGCTACCAGCTCTAGGGCGGGGAGGGGAGGGCATCTATTTTAATGAGAAGACTTAGCACGGAGTACTGATGTATCTTTGAAGCCAGGATGAAAAATTGCACAATGAAAAAGTTGTATTTAAGGTCAGGGTGTCAAAGCAGTGTTTGTATCCACAGCGCAGATGCATGCTTTGAAGGGTTACCTGTGGGGGGGTAATAATAGGTCAGAAATGAGAATAAGGAAGGCTATGTTTGTTTATGTTGTCCAAGTTCAATACAAGAAGTAAAGAGAGGGTAAAATAGATTGGAAAGTCTTACATATAGTCAACCTAAAGTTAATATTATTTTAATAATATAAGTTACAACTAAGACATTAAAGTTGTTTGCCTGGTAGCATCTTTTTAGAACTTTTCTAACAGTTTTGTTTATTCTGATGTTTGTGACTTTTATATTTGAAGATTTTAATTAAAAAGTAATTTTTACCAGCTTTTGGCAAGTTATTTTATTTTTTTTTTCCTGAAGACTCCTTTTGAGCATAGTGATACTGCAAAACACTGTGTGTTTCCTTTGGTCATACCTCATCTGCGCTTTGTGTGATTCCCAACAAGTAAATACGAATGAAAACAAGCATACTCAAGTTGGTGTGCTTCAACTGTAGTTGACCATGACCTCAGAGGCCCTCAGCCCCACGATCTGACTCAGACCCAATACATGGGCTGAAGATCGTCACACAGTAGCTATTAGGCGGGGTACAGGGATGCCTGGGTGTGCAAATGAGAGCTGCTTGGGCTTCTCCTCCCAGCCACATCTCCTCCTCTGAGCCTGGTTCTTCATGTAACAGGGTGGCGAAAGATATGATTTACAGCCCACATAACTGCTTTCAACTTAAAAAGTTCTACGTACACATGGTCGACCTCTTTTTACCGAGTGTTGTGTATTAGCTCTGTTCGAAGAAAGCATGAGGGAGAGGAGCATAGGAAACAAGATGCTGGATCCCCGCACACCAAGACAGGTAGGCTCAGAACCAGAGGCAAACACTGCCCTTGCAGGATCCATCTTGCAGCAACAACTGCACGAGAGGGACCTTATCTCAAATGCTTTTTAAACTCTCTGAATATCAGAAACCTTAAATGCCTATATATGTATATATATACATACATACACATGCTAATCTGAGACCGGAAATTATTATATCTTGCTCAAGTTCCAATTTACTTTTGCATTTTTGACTCTGGAGCTTGGATTACTCACCTTATATTTACTGTAAATCAGTTTCTGGAAGGTGGAGTAAGTTGCATCATGAGGCCTTTGTACGGGGGATCATATAAAATACAGAAATTGATAATCTCCTTGGAATCAGAGGCAATTTGACCATCAGTTAGCATCTGAGTCACGCAAGACAGTGAGGCCTTAACAGCTTCTGGTGATTGTTCAAAGTCTGAAATATGCTATTGCCTAGATTTTTTTTACAGTGAGAAGCCAGGCCACCTTATAATGAATATAAAACTAGTGACAGTAAGTTTGCTTTTCTGCTTTACTTCCATGAAGTCCTTAAAAATTGTCTGCAGACAGTCCAGGGTTTGCTTGCCATGTCACACATTAAAAAGAAAAGGTGCGCAGTGTCTGCAAAGGAGCACCCACCTGGTGAAAATCAGAGTATTGGGAGTTCCTACGGACACAGCAGGCAGCAAGGCTGTGGGCACATCTGGCTGGCTGCCCTCAAGGATCTACTGTTCAGACATGCCTCAGGCAGTCATCTGTACCTGGATAAAGCCCATGATGACCAACCATGTCAGTGTGAAAAGGAGCCAAGGTCACAAAAAAATAAATAAATTAGTCACACTTCATCAGAGCGGAGCAACTGTTTCTTTGATGGTCCTGTGCAAATCATTTTACTGCTGTTGAGTGCTGCTCATTAAAACAGCGAATGGAAAATTTGTGAGACTCAGTTCACCCTCACTTTCTTTTTTCACCTCCTCCCGGTAGTCAGGACTTTGGGAAATTAAAGTTCAAAACGGTTTCCCTTGTGTTTTGTGAGTGTATTAGTTGTTGAAGCTGAAGGAAGTGTGGAATGAGACAAAAGTGACGCGCTACAGAGACAGCAGCAAACCTGGGCACATTCTGTCACTGAAACCATGCCATGCATGATAAAGGTTTTATGGCTCTGTCCAGAGCTCCCCTCCCTCCTCCATTTATGCACATAAAACAGTAGGAGAACTGGTTGTGCAAGGACAGAGATCCAAGAGCCATATATAAAATTGGATTTTTTTTATTAACTAGAGTCCAGAAAGGTTTGGGAGATGAGACATATCCTGGTGCGTGAACACCGGTCACATGATCACAGAATGTCAGAGGCTAGAAGGGACCTCGATCATTTAGGCCAGCCCCCCTGCCAGAGCAGGATCACCTACAGTAGATCGCACAGGTACGCGTCCAGCCGGGTTTTTAATGTGTCCAGAGAAGGAGACTCCACAACCTCCCTGGGCAGCCTGTTCCAGGGCTCTGTCACCCTCAACAGGGAAAAAGTTTTTCCTCATGTTTTTGTGGAACCTCCTGTGCCCCTGATGGTTTACTGTACAGTTACCTAAGGGAGTTCAACACACAGCATGCAAGGCTGTATAAACAGCACACCTGCTGCCAGCGCGGTGCTGAGGCACGGCAAATAGCCATGACACAAGTTATTAAATCTCCGCAACCCCTCCTTCCGCCGGCCGGGCTCTGGCTCCTCCCCCGGGGAGTGCT